AGTTCCTAATGTACCTGCTCAAAGTCAGTGTTTTGTGATGCATTGTGGTCTATGTAGTTTCATACCTACGTTTGGTTCATTTAAATAGACTTAGTCAAAAACAATGTTTATATCAAACTTGGAATCAGCTGAGCTGTGCAGTCAATCAAACACCCGGCAATACTGCATGTCGCGCTCACAACGGAAAATACTAATAAAACTTATTTACAAATACGTTTGTATTTAAAAGTTAATATAAAAGCAGGTGTAAAAGGCATAAATCTGAAACTATTTTGAGGGTTTAGTTCCTGATTTCATGCATGCACATTAGTAATTGTAAAAAGGTCAATTCCTTATTACAAACCAGATTCAAAAAAAGTTGGGGCACTAAACAAATTGTGAATAAAAACTGAATGCAATGATGTGGAGGTGCCAACATCTAATATTTTATTCAGAATAGAACACAAATCACAGATCAAAAGTTTAAACTGAGAGAATGTATCATTTTAAGGGAAAATCTATTGTTTCCAAATTTCATGGCGTCAACATATCCCAAAAAAGTTGGGACAAGTCCATTTTTACCACTGTGTGGCATCCCCCCTTCTTCTTACAACACTCAACAGACGTCTGGGGACAGAGGAGACCAGTTTTTCCAGTTTAGAAATAGGAATGCTCTCCCATTCATGTCTAATCCAGGCCTCTAACTGTTCAATCGTCTTGGGCCTTCTTTGTCGCACCTTCCTCTTTATGATGCACCAAATGTTCTCTATAGGTGAAAGATCTGGACTGCAGGCTGGCCATTTCAGTACCTGGATCCTTCTCCTACGTAGCCATTATGTTGTGATTGCTGCAGAATGTGGTCTGGCATAATCTTTTTGAAAAATGCAGGGTCTTCCCTGAAAGAGAGGACGTCTAGATGGGAGCATATGTTGTTCTAGAACCTGAACATAGTTCTCTGCATTAATGGTGCCTTTCCAGACATGCAAGCTGCCCATGCCACAAGCGCTCATGCAACCCCATACCATCAGTGAAGCAGGCTTCTGAACGGAGCGTTGATAACAACTTGGGCAATCCTTGTCCTCTCTGGTCCGGATGGCATGGCGTCCCAGTGTTCCATAAAGAACTTCAAATCGTGACTCATCTGACCACAGAACAGTCTTCCATTTTGCCACACTCCTTTTTAAATGACCCCTGACCCAGTGCAAACGTCTGAGCTTGTGGAGCTTGCTTAGAAATGGCTTCCTCTTTGCACTGTAGAGTTTCAGCTGGCGAAGGCGGATGGCATGGTGGATTGTGTTCACTGACAATGCTTTCTGGAAGTATTCCTGAGTCCATTCTGTTACTTGACAGTTGCATTCCTGTTTGAGGTGCAGTGACGTTTAAGGGCCCGGAGATCACGAGCATCCAGTAGAGTTTTACGGCCTTGACCCTTACGCACAGCGATTGTTCCAGATTCTCTGAATCTTTTGATGATGTTATGCACGGTTGATGATGATAACTTAAAAGTCTTTGCTATTTTACGCTGGGTTACACCATTCTGGTATTGCTGCACTATCTTTCTGCGCAACAATGGTGGAATTGGTGATCCTCTTACCATCTTGGCTTCTGAGAGACACTGACACTCTGAGAAGCTCTTTTTATACCCAATCATGTTGTCAATTGACCTAATTAGTGTTAATTGGTCTTCCAGCTGTTAGTTATATGCACAATTTCCTTTTTCCAGCCACTTATTGCTACTTGTCCCAACTTTTTTGGGATTTGTTGACACTGTGAATCTTTGAATCAACATATTTTTCCTTTAAAATGTTACATTTACTCAGATTAAACTTTTGCTCTGTCATCTATGTTATATTATGAATAAAATATTGACATTTGCCATCTCCACATCATTGCATTCAGTTTTTATTCACAATTTGTTTAGTGTCCCAACTTTTTTGGAATCTGGTTTGTACTTTGTATATCATATTCTTTAACATTTTTTATTTTTTTTTCCCAGAAAGAACAAATAAAAATAAAATTTTGGGGCGAAGACCACGACATTTTGTTATATAGTAGTTTCACAAACTGGACTGGATATTTGTTGTGTTTTTATTATTTTAAAACTAAACTTTAAATGATCCAGATATTTAGTTAATTGCATTGTGCTTGTTTTTAATGCAGAGCATTGTCGCTGTTTTGGAAACAAGCTTGTTATGATCAATTTGAACACATTATGCTGCTGATCATTTCTTTCTGTTTTTTGCCACATTTGGACACAGTTTGTAAATTATAGTGTCTTCTCACAGTCTGATGACATTTCAACTTAAACAGACAACATACATAAACTTGTGAAGATGTGTAAATTATTAGACATTCTGAGAAGTTATTTGACCATTATACAACTTTTTTAAAACAACACTTGTAAAGGTTAGACATCGTAATCCCAAACATACTTTTAATTGGTTGGGAGCTGACATTTTCCATCCAAAGGGCACCTCATTCCAAATGTCTGCATAATCACAATTATCATCCTTCTGTTTGCTCAGCTTAGATCAGAAAGCACCGATTTGCACATGCAGATGGAACGGTGCATGCTAAAATATTCAACTTGAAGTTTTTTTTTGCACATAAGTATGTTTGTGTTTGCCACAATGCTTGCAGCTCACAGTCTACAAATAGTGCTGTGAGTTGTGCTTTGTTTAAGTTTTAACTTTTTCTGTCCACCTGAGTCAGGTGGATTTATGCAACAACGCTTCAGTTTAGTGGTTTACATGTTTATACCCTCCACTGTCCAAGTATTTACATAATTTAGGTTCTGCTTTCTGTGGCATTCTGCACTGTACAGTATTTCCTGATTACCCTGAAGGGATAGTTTAGATACTTTAAAGAGGGGAAAGTGCAAACTAACATACAGTAGTCCCTCAGTTATCACTGGGGTTATGTTCTGTACACCCTCGCGATAAGTGAAAAAACGCAAAGTAGGAACACATTTATTTTAGTATTTATATATATATATATTTTTAAAAAATAATATATTATATATATAAAGGCTTTATAAACCCTTCCCACACTATTGCAATGTTCTAAACTCTTAACCCTACATCATTTCAACAACATATGTATATGCACCGCACAGTACTGCAAAATTTTATATGGGGACTAACCAGCCTTGGTCCAGTTCTGGTCCGGTTCTGATCGGCTCTATGCAGCTGCTGAGCACCGGACGCTTTTGGAGAGAGCCGGACCTTCGGAGAGCCAGCACAAAACCACACAATGGTCCCAATCGAGTCCACATAATCCAGAGGGATCCGGATGAAAAAAGTTTGGGTGAGCTCTGGAGAAGGCACCTGACCTCTAAGCATTACCTCCTCACTGAAGAGGCTTCATGGGCTGGCAAGCAGCACTCAGATTGACCGATGAGGCTGGAAGTAGTTATGGTCCGGTTCTGGTCTGGTTTAGATCGGCTCTCTACATCCACCGAGCACAAAAGTCACTATAAATAAGGACAAAACTTTTTTGTCACGTTCGGATCAACATTTTCCCTTTATATTGGCAGAAAGCAGTTGGCCAGAAGCACTGTTGGTTTCTGGGTAATGTAGTTCTTTTGGACTGGTGATACAATATAGGCTTATTGAAAGAAAACTACAAAATGGTGGCGCCTGTCTGAAGTATTTTTTTCCGTTAACGTTTTATCTCGTACCGTCCAATCACGTGAGTAATATTAAAGTTGACAATCCTTGAAAAAACGCAAAAGAGCGAGTCTGCAAAAGTCGAACTGTGAAGTAGCGAGGGACTTCTGAATTTCCTGTTGCAGATAACACTTTAACCAATATCAGTTTGGAGGAAAAAAGATTGAATTTTGATCAGACTGATAAACGAAGTCCAGGCAGCACTTGGACCAAAGTTCAGGACTTATGTCTTTAAATAACTACACACTCAGTTTATGCCAATACTATGTTATAAACCAGAGGTTTCCAATCCTGGTCCTTGAAGTCCACTTAAACATGTTTCCCTGCTCCGACAGCTGATTTGAATTAATGGGTGATTAACAGGCTTCTGCAGAACGTGAAGGTGTACTTTAACCACTGAATCAGGTATGTCGAAGCAGAGATTTATGTACAACATACATAGTGGCCCTCAAGGACCAGTATTGAACACACTTGTTATAAATTATTTGTTTCACACTACATTGTAATACAATTTTCTTGCCAGAGGTTCCCCAGGCTGCATCAAAAATGCCACAGATTGTATATCAGTAACTGTGCATTGCAAAATTGACTGCTATGTAAACACTTACAAGAAAATGTTTGGTGGAAATGCTATGAGCTTTAACAACTATGTTTTAAGAAAGTAGTAAACCATTTTAGTCTTGGCCTTACTTGAATTCTCCATTAACTGTCAATCCAATTAAAATGAAACTCAGTTTCTCCAAAATAAGATTTCTGAAAGAAATATCTTTAAAAGAATAACAGGTAAGATATTAGCGGTGTGCATCAAAAGATGTGGACTGTGTTTTTTAATCAAAAACAGGTCCAGCTCAAAGGAATGCACACATTTACATAAACCTGGTATTTTTATGAAAGCTGGTTTCTACATAAAGTTATAGGAAAAAGGAAGCCATCTTCTATTGGCTACATAAATAGGCCACATGTTTTTTCCATGCAAGTAAGATCAGTGTAATCTGTGTAGTTTAATATTTACCATGAGATGAATTTTATCCCCCCCAAAAAACTGGACAACAAAAATTATTTTCATAATTACATTTTTCATGCATGTCATTTTTGTGTCGTGCATATTTTTATTCCTGTTTTAAATAAGTGTTTATCTTTTTTAATATGTTCTTTAAGAAATGCATTAGTTGATTGTCTTCACTCCTACACCAACTTTTGACACACCTGAGTGATATTTTGTGGAATCATCCTTTAATGAAGAGTTGGCACATATGCTCTCATTCAGCAAAATGTTTTGTAACATCTGTAGGAAACACGTATTGAAATGTCCTTGTTCAACATTACGAACCTCTCTTCGTGTTCTGAACGCAGGAGTCCAGGTGGAACTACCTGTTTTCCTTCCTGGCAGTCCCAGCAGTGCTGCAGCTGTGTGTCCTGCCCTTCCTCCCTGAAAGTCCTCGGTATCTGCTGATGGAGAAGAGGGACGAGGCCGGAGCAGAAAAAGGTAGTAAGGATAAGAGAAACAGTGCTCACTCAAAATGTCTGCAAAGTGCAAACAAGCCTTCAATAGGAGCTTGGGTCTCACTGAACCTTTCATATTTTACTCCCAACCTGGTTAAGTGGTCATCAACTTCACGCAGACTCTCACATTGGTACAGTTTCATCTTTAAATCACTTCTTGGTCTGCTGCCTTCATACATCTCCTCCTACATGTCTCTGCGTGAGTGCAACTACAGCGTGCACTCTCATGACATCATTACCTGCAGTGTTCCCTCAGTGCGGACTGAACTAGGTAAAAGGGTCTTCTACTCCGCTCCAGTTTCCTGGAATATCTTGCAAAAAGATCTGAAGCTCTCTACCTTGACCTCTCTAAGTGGCTTCAAACATCTGTTAAGTTCCTGGGAAAATCCAATGTAGACATGTTCTTGTTTTTAGATCGACTTACAACCTAGCTGTTTTTTTGTTACTTTTTTAATACCATTTTATTTTCACTTGTTATTCTCAATTTATACACATCCTTTATGATCATCTATTGTTGTCTTTGTTGTCCACTGTTGTCATCACGCTTTGTTAAAACCAGGTCTCTCTTGTAAATGAGTCCCCGAGGCTCAATGGGATTAACCTGTATAAATAAAAGGTTGAAAAAAAAAAAAACGTGCTCAAGACAAAAGGCCCTTAAGCATTGTAAGGCGCGCCCTGGCCTGGACCGATCCAAACTGGGTCCCGCCCTGGTTTTGAGTGTTCGCATTGGGCAGTCTGGCCTAGTACCAGGTCGATTTTTAGAAGCCTGAGGCCTGTGGTTCTATTTGGGCCGGGCTGGTTCTGAAGATTAGACGTCAGCAGGCTGCTGGCCATTGATTGGTTCACCGGCCCAGGGGGCCACGTCACAGATGACTCATACTTCCAGTGATTGCTCCCACCATTTTCTTCTTTCTGGCCAGTTGTGTGATAAGAGCACCCTCTTCGGATGTTATCAGCCATTAAATGGCTGTTATTAGGCGTTATCATCTCCATATGTAGTGGTCAGACTGCCCCTCCTGTACCTCCCAGTGGGTTTAAAGGTACGCTGTTAGCGATGATAATAGGCTTTGTTTTTAGCTTTGTTAGAGCTCATAATAGGTTCACGTGGTTATGTTCAGAGTAAAGGGTCTGGCGGTTAGGTTTAGGGTCTTGGTTAGGTTTAGGCACAAGGGTAAGGGGGTTAAGTTTAGGGTTGGTCCTCAGGGTCAGGTGTAAGCTTACGTTTAGGAAAAGGGTTACATAAGCTGAAAAAACTAAAAACACACTTCCAGGTTTACCCCCGTGTGACGCTGCCTATTATCAGCAATAATAACGATAATAACGTACCTTTAAACCTACTAGGAGGTAGGTGGGACAGTTTGACCGCTACATATAGGGATGATAACAACTAAAAACGGCCATTTAATGGACTGATAACATCCGAAGCCGCTCATAAGAGAGAGATCCTATTTTTCTTTAGAAAAAATGGCAACTCTAAAGTTGCTACGGGGAGTGCTGGTGCAGAGGTTAGATAAGGTGGGGTTTTTGATCAAAAGGCTGCTGGTTCAGCTACCTGCACTGACAACATCAAAATGTGAGGAAAAGGTGAAACACTCACACCTGCCTCCACCCTCATTTCCCCCACTCTGGGCCCTTGAGTAAGGCCCTTAACCCCCACCATCTGCTCCCAAACAGGTCTCTCTTGAAAATGAGTCCACGTGACTCAAAGAGCCTACGTGTATAAATAAAGGTTAAATAAAAAAATACTAAAGATTGTACCAGTGCCCTGGACAAACAGCAAGGTGCTATTATTGCTAAGCTGAGATTCATGCGCCAGTCCAGACTCTGCACAAGAGACAAAAGTGTGAGCCAACAGAACCTTTACATCAAGGTATTTACTTTTCCCTTCAACTTTCTTGGCAAAATCTCTCAAAATAACATGAAAAATAAAAACATCAATGGGACAATTTCTTTGTGTGTGTGTAGCTGGTGGTGGTGGTGGTGGGGGGTGGTGGTGGGATACATTTGTATTTGTATCTTTCACTTTCAAAAAGTGATCCATACATGACTTCAGAGCCAAAAACAGACCCAGAGTAATACCCAACCTTATTTATTTATTAGACTATTTCAATTCCATCCACAAGGACTTTCCATTTTTATTTCTTTCTTACCCCAACCCCAAAAAATGTGTCTAAAAACAGGGATGAACATACAAAAGAGTTAAGGAAGCTATCATCCAAGCAGAAAAAAACATAAATCTGTAAATCTATGTTTTAACATTCAATTCCTGTTCACCTACAAACAAGGACGTTTCTGTCTTATAGGTCTGAAAACTAGCTGCTGTAACAAACATATCACAAAAGTGTCCTTAAACGACCCCACACTGATCCCAGTATGCACACTGGTGGGAGACTGCAGACAAAACGTACAGCACACAGAGTTCAGACATAAAAGAAGATATGAGCGTAGATGACTGAAAAACACATTATCACCCTGTGAAGAACCTTAATAAGCTTGAAAGGTGTATGGAGAATTTAATTTTTTAAATAAAAAAAACCCCAACTAAATCACATGGTGAGATCTCAGAGTGCAGCTATCTCTTACATTTACAAAATAATTTAAACTCAAGCTGCAGCAATTTTTTCAGCAGATAGCAGGGAAAGTGTGGAGAATTGTATTACTTGCACCAGTTAGTGGCCATGATCATGTCCAGAGCTCATAAATGTTGACCCTCAGCCACATTAGTAAAGCTGCAGCACAGCAAACGTGTCACAGCAGGAGAGTGACGGGTGGAACTAATGATGACCGTGGTTCCTCAGTCAGGACAGGAAAACAGCACGCACAATAGCAGGAGCGAATCGAAGTATCACACCGCAAACATAAATACACAAATTAGAATTAAAATTAATCTTACCCAGACTGCTGCACTTTCATTCGGTTTTATATTTCAGGAGTTTAAGTTTTCTGTTGTCTCGTTTGTTTTGCTTCATTTAGATAGTGTCTCAAGTCCAAAAGGATTTAATGTTTCAAATGATTTCAGTTTTTTTTAATAAACAGAAACAAGTTTAACTTATTGTCATCTACTACTTAAAATTTTTATTTTTTTTGCTAATTGGAGCTATTAAAACACATAGAATGGAGGAAAAGACCATAAAATGCAACCCCAGTTCCAGAAAGGGCATGTTATGTAAAATGTAAACAAAAGCTGAATTTTGGGTAAATGTTATTCATTTAAAGTGCCACAGTTCTGTATTTTTTTTAAAAAGTTTATTCCTAATTTAAACGATAGGGCTAAAAAAAATCTGACAGATAGTTAAACATGTTTCAGTGGTTTCGGCAAAGTTATGGCTTGAATGTTAAATTCAATTTGAATTCAAATTCATCTCACATGGACCTTTTGCATGTCTTTTCCTCCCCTCAAACACTTCAGCTCCTTCCTTGGGGAGGCACCAGTTTAATCTCCATGTCTAATACAGACCACATCCTGTCATTTATATGAATTTAGATTCCTATCATTTCTGTTAAGGAGACGCACAGTGAATGTTTCATTTTAATTTCACTCTACATGTTGTGAGCCATAACCAATCAGTGATTAGGAGGGCCCACGTCTCAATCTAACTTTAGGTGAAAGGTTTCAGCTGTGTTAAATTTAGACTTTGTTGATTAAGATTTGCGTCTCATCAACTTTATCAGAGTTTAAAATCCATTCGACATGTGAGCATGAACACCTTCAGAGTTGCAGCTCTGTTGAAATGAACCAGGAACAGTTGAACCAGTTTAATGTGTCTTATTGTGTTAATATTGTATAAGTAAAATCAAAAATGTCTTTTTTCTTTCTTTCAGCACATCAGTACTTAGGATGTGCTCTCGTCAAATACTGAATGTGCAATGTGGCCACAAAAGAACCCAAGCGCTACAAGTTTTGGGAAAAAATATAAATTAAAAAAATAATAAACAGTAAAATACCTATCGTGAACAGAATTCACAATAGTGCACGGTGTTAGCTTGACACCAACAACAAACAGGCCTAAGCCTCTAAAAGCCTAATACTGTTTTTCCGAGTAGGAGTCACCTAAAGTTTATGTTAATTAACATCTGTTGAAAAGGATAGGACTCGTATTAACAGCCCAGACATCGCAGGATGCCTGTGGAAAGCAAAGTCACAAAAGTGAACATTTAACACAAGCCGAGCAGAGAGCTCTTGAAATCTTGAAATATTCTAATATTTATGCAACTAATTTATGCACTAATTGTTATAAAAACCATGTAATCGTTCACTAAGGGTGGAAGGGCATAGATGTAAATAATTCAAAGAGTACATCATTTTGGAAAACAATAATTGTTAAGACTACCATATTTAGATTCCTCCCCACCCCACTGTCATCTCCTTTAAAGGTTCCTGTTATTGGAACTGGTCCAGCAGCCTGTCCAGTCAGGCCAGCTGCTACTTATGCCAGTGAACTAAGGCACGACAGTCAACAAATGGTTTTTGAGTGCATCTGATATGAGGAAGAGAAATGTTTCTAAGAGTTCATCTTTGGTAACTTATCTAGCCATACAAAGGGACTTAAGAGTGTAACAGCCACACAGATTGATTGATGTCAATGCGGTGAGTGCTTTAAGTTATAATGAACTTGTCTGAACATGTTTCTCTAGATTATCATCCCTAAACACATGCTTGTAACAATATGCTACTGTCTGCTAAATTCACATGAAAGAAGCTGCAAAGAGTTGAGCGTCTGGTAAAGGACGTCCAGCTCTGATTCCTTCAGGTTTCACCTTCCAGCCAACATTTCACTGGCACAAGGCTGCACAAAGCTAAATTTCCATACTGCTGGCATGTGTTAGAGAGCTGCAGCTGGGAGAATTATTGTCCATGCACACAGGTCTTGTGGGCTGGCTCTGTGTAGTCCCATTATCATTACAGAGTGCCAGACAGAAACAGCATGTTTTCATGCAGGCCAGCTCGTCTCTTGTCAGGTTACAGAACTGCAGTGGTCCTGA